GGCTTAAAACTTGATATGAGTAATCTTGAAGGTCCATAATGATCCATGAAAGTCATTTGAGGCATTAAAATTCCAATTGTCCTTGTGAAAACTCAAACCCTAATTTGATGTATCAGTGTTGCAAACTTGAGCCATTGTGAGAAATGTTTTGAGAAAATGAGAGGGAAAATTTTGGGGTACAACATCGCGGCTTCACTTTGATTCCTCATTTCCGCATTTTATTGCTTTCTAGATATTGTGAGAAGTATTACTTTATTGCTTTCCTCGCCATGAGAAGTAGGACTAGAGATGTATGAAGAGGATCTCTGTTGCTGATCATGTCAGGAGCCCCTCTAGTTTATTTAAGGACCCATTTAGGGCAATTCCGCATTGTGTGCTTGTTGTATGTTATTTGTGTTTGTTTAAAACCCCACCTTTGAAGTAGGTATCCTGCAGGTGTGTTTACATTTGTTACCGCATATATTACAGATGATAAGTCCTCAAAAGGAGGCGAGCGAAAAGGGTTTGCAATCAACCCTCACATTTTGTCTGTGTCATCCTTAGCTCGTGATGCACCATGATGCTTCAGAGTTGTGCCTACTCTTGTTATCGAGTCGTTAAGTGGAAAAGGGTTTCGCAATTAAACCCCCACACTTTGTTAGGAGTTCACATTGACTGATGATGATACTCCGTGATTGTTCATATTATCTTATGTCACCTACCTCAATCTTTTATATCTTGGTTAGGTGTTCAGTCGCTTTGGACATCACATTTTTGTTTTACATCCTATTCCCGCTTGATTGCTTCGGGTCATTCGCTCCCCTTAGCTAAAGCATTTCTATTATTTTATTTTCACTCCCGCTTGTTTGTCTCGGGTGATACGCTCCCCTTGACTAAAGCATTTCGCTTTTTTTCCTTACCATTTTATGTGTGTGCTCCTTCGAGCTTGCTTGTTTTATCCTTGTACATACCATGTTCCTTTAGGATCTGCTTGTTCCTTTCAAATGCAAGTTAGACCTTAGGTTGTGAGCCATGCATGCTAACATTAGGTAGAGATTTCTCTTTAATCCAAACCTTAGGACTGCCATTGTATGATAACATTAGGATTAGAGATAGGTTAGTCTCCCGTAGACTCTTTTATTCCCCTTTTTGCATATGCATCTAAAACTTTCTTTTTCTTATCAAATCATAAAACATGCTAATCACACTTAAACCCTTTTTCAAGGTAACAAAAACACAAACCAATCAAATGTGGCATCTTGTCTTGAGGGCGTAACTCAAACCCATTTTCAGGTAAGGACGTGATTAATTTACTTCTGTGCCAACGCGTGAGTCTCCAAAGGTCGAGCTGCAGTAGAAGGCGGAATTAATATTGTTCATAAAAAAAACACAAAACAAACAAAAACATGTGATCCGAACTACGGTAACTCCGATTCCTCAAAAAGGATACGTAGGCATTGGGGTAGGGCCTAAGCAAGCACAACTTTATTTTTCCTACATTATTTTCTCCTTTCCTTTGCATGTATTTGTCCTCAGCAGTAAGCAATAAGCATAGATTAGGCACACCCATAAATATATAACAATAGTGGATACAGTAGAGTACTACGAGTGTGTGGGGTGCTAATACCTTCCCCTCGCGTAATAGACTCCCTTAACCGATCTCTCGGTCGCAAGACCGTGACTTCTCCCTTCTCAGGTTTTCTCGATGTTTACCTTTCCCTCCATGTGGGATAAAAGATGTTTGATGGAGACTTCATTGTCTGATGATTTTCAGCTGGTTGTTCTAGGGGGATATGGGTGTAGTCACACTCTCCGATGGTAAACAAATATCCAGAATGACCTGGTCCTCATCCTTTGAGGAAGAAACATCCATACCCGATTGGAAGGCAAAGATTTATTCCTCATAAGTGTAAATGGAGGCAAAGTCACAAGCGCCTTTGGGAACGATGGAGGAGTAAGACATTTTGTTCGTGGGAAAATAAATGAACAAAAAGGAGTCACAACCACTGTCCCGATTGCAAGAAAGGAACTACAAACCTAGAAACCATATTTCTAGCACAAAAACACCATCCCAAACAGATCTTCTCGAATTCTATTATATTAAGTTAGAAAATATGAAGAAGTTTATACCTGAGAAAAGTATCCAAGATTTATAAGATAGATAATAGGAAATAACTCGAACAGAATTTCCGAAAATAAGATAAAATGCGAAGGGAAAAACCTTTTATAGTAAACTCCCTGAGCCCCCTGTAAGGTTTTATAAAACTCAACATATTATTGACATGTGTCGTTAACGTTTAAGGTCTCAAAGAATATGCCATCATTCATCGCATTAAATAAAAGCAAACACATCTGTAATGTGATTGATTTATATCATTGGTTGACATCCCTTAGTTAAATAATGGACACTTGAAAGTTGACTCGTAAGGTGAGAGTCATGGTAAATAAACACTCCTTCAAGTTTAAATACTTGCCCCTTACTAAGGGGCTCACCTACTAATGTAAGCGCCCTCACGAGGGACTTGACTTTTATTGTAAGTGCCTTCGGCTGATGGACTCACCCAGCGAATGTTGCCACCCTTAATTAAGAGATTTGTCAATATGGCGAGATACGCACTCCATAAAAAGTAAAAGAGGTTTTAAACACTTCTCCGTTTAGAAAAGCACGCGTGCTTGATGGACCATGTAATGTTATATTTGTAGAAGTCTTAAAATAGGGCGCCCTCGTCTAACAACTGTGTCGCCTAGGCATAATCTTAGGGGCTCTCCCAGAGGCATCCGCAACGTGGGGGTCATGGAAGAGGAAGTCTCCATAAACTCCTAGAAGATAGACAATTAATAACTTCTCCTAATAAGGAGGGAGCGGTTAACACCATAAAATGGGCCAAAACCCCAGGCTTAAATGAACCCCTATGAATATTATCTCTCTAGAGGAGAAGAGGGACAAAATCTAAGTCATACACACTCTCTACAACTTAAAGAGCATCACACTCATTACAATATTAACACATTACTGGCCTAGCTGCCCGCCTACGACTAACCATTGTCGGTCATCAATAGGGCCTCTCACCTCACATGAGTTGGTACCTTAAACTATCTTAAAACACCACCTTACAAGACTTCTCGTCACCGTGAGCAAGCCTTCACCACTAAAATCCATTATATGCCTACTAAGGCATTTAAGTCTCCATGTCTTTGTAGGGAAAACACACACACACACCTATATTTTTTGACTAGTACACATATTATTAAGAATTCTATGCGTCGTATCAAGTCAAGTGAACCTTTTGCTAAATTAATTGTTAAGACAAGTTTATTATCTCACATGAAACTTTTATGATTCATAAGCAATGTTTTAAAGTTGATGATAAGTCTTTTAGATATACAATTAAAGTATATAATTCAAGAAGTTTGAATCTTCTTTTTAGAGAAAAATTTGTTGTCTTGAATGGTGATTTCAAGAAAATTCTTCTAGTCATCCCATAAGGCATGAGACAAAATATTTTACATCCTAACATTATTTCATCATATCTTTGACACTTTTGTCAGGTATTACCATTGACTAAAAATACGAGGCTCCAATATAGATCTTCATGCTCTGACGTCAATGAAGTGAAAATATTTCAAATTGAATTTTCAAAGTTCGAGATGGAAACATTGGAGAAAACAATGATTGGGAAATTGAAATGAAATACCAAATGACTTGCTGATCAAGAATATATGTGAGCATTTTACTTCAACTGTTGATACCACACACCCATCACTTTTAGAGAATATGAGTGATCACTTGTTTATTCAAATTCGAGCAATTTTAGCACACAAGAATGATATTGTTTATACATTGAACAATTACATTATGATTTTGATACCAGGAGAATAAAATACATACTTAAGTGATAATAGTCCTCGTAATATTCATACTTTTTAATTTCTTAGTACCATTGTTTCTTGAGGTTCAACCCATTAGTTAAGACTTAAAATTGATGTCTCGGTTATGTTGTTGAGAAATATTGATCAACTGTCAAGTTTATGTAATAATAGTCAACTTATAATTACACAGATGAAAGATTAGGAGTTTGAGAAAAATGTCATATCACAAAACAATATTTGACATGATTATCTCTCAAAATTGTCTTTAACTCAATTTGACCTTAAAAATTCATTCACATTTCAACCTAAACAATTTTCTATTCGTATCTCATTTCCAATGACTATCAATAAAAATTAAGGTCAATCTCTTCAAAATATGGCATATATCTTCAAAAACTTATATTTTCACAAGACTAATTATATGTACTTATTTCACATATTACTTTAAGTATTGTATCAAGTATTGTATCGAAGGTTCTTATATGTGATGATGAAGACGATATCTCGAACAAAACTTATAATGTAGTTTAAAAAAAAATTATTTCAAAACTTATATTTTTTCAACATGTTATATAATCTTAATATAACTCACATAAATCTCAATTTTCCCTTTACTTTTTTCATTCTCTATCTTTTGAAAACTATAACCATATTCATTTTCTAATATATTTTGAATTATTTACTTTCTTAATAATAAAAATAAATAAATAAATCATTAATTTATTATATATTACATTTTAATTTTATATTATTTTTTATCACTAACTTTATATTAATTAGTCATTAATATAATTTACTTTTTGTGGATCACACTGGTGCAATTATTAGTTAATTTTCTAATATTTAAAAAGAGAAAATTTACCATTTAAAAATAAAATTTAACATTTATTTGTATTTATAAATATTTCCCGATGTTCTAAATTTTCATTAAACACATAAATAATACTTAAGAGAATATCATTTGAAGAAATGTAATCTTAACCATTGAAATAAACATTAACAGACCATTAATGAAACCGAGAAATTGACAGACCAAAATACATACTCCTACCAGCGAAAGTAATTTTGGTTCGCGGTGAACCAAATAATAGAAACTTTAGAGTAATCGAAGACTCAACACTTGTTGTTGTTGTTGTTGTTCTTCACTAACAATGGCACAAGTTGCCGTTGCAACCTTCAAATTCAACTCATTTCACAAACCCATTCACCACTCTTTCTTCTTCTCTCCCTCTCCCCCTCCCCCTCCCACATTCAACTTCAAACCTAATCCCAATCTCACACACCCACGTCTTTCTCACCATTCCCTCTTCATGTTCCGTCCTCCTTCTCTCACCTCATGCAGCAGCAGCAGCAACAACAACAACAACAAATCAGGTACGGTACGTCTCCGCCATAAAACAAATTCCTAAACTCTCACTAGTAACCAACTTTCACATTTGATTAATGTTCGGTTGAGGCATTTTGTCAAACACCTTGTTTGCGTGTTGTGCAAGAGTCAAAATTAACTTCAAACATCTCATGTAGTGTATTTTATCTTATCTCGTTATTTCGGTTTGGTTGGTTAGATATGATATCACAGTTGGAACTGGGGAAACCAGAGCTGAAGAAGAGGGAACCGGAGAAACGAGTCAACGGGATATTCTGGATCATACTGCTTAATATCGGTATATTCGTCGCTGACCATTTCTTTCAGGTATGTACATTTGTTTGTTCTTCAATCATAGTTTAGGCTTTTAGAGAATGATGGTTTATAGACCAAATTGAATGTTCACTCTAAACATGAATAGAGTAATTGCCAAACTGGTCCACTAGAAAAGCTTAGAGAAGCCATGTACGTTCGATGGTCTAAAATATAAGAAAAATCTATTTTAACCTTATTTCTTTCAAAATAAATTCAACCCACATCAATTCTTTCAAAATCAAATCAAGAAAATCTAAATCAAATAGACCATAGTATGAACTCAGAATATGCTTATGTTCCCATCTCAGGATTTCTTTATGATGAAAGGTTTTTCCGGCGTTTCTTCTGTAGGTTGATGGCATCAAGGCTTTGTATTTGTTTCATAGCAGGCCTGATTGGTTTCAGTTTCTCACAGCAACATTTTGTCATGCTAATTGGTGAGTCCACTCTTCTTTCATTTCGATTTTCTATGGTTGTGTTTGTTTTCTTGTGTTTTCATAAGAATTGCATTGCACAAAACAGGATTCGTTTTTTTTTTTTTGTTTTCCTCTTCATTTTCTATTAATAGGTTTGTGAACTCATTTCCCAATACCCCATTTTACAACTGATTAATGCTTTAACTTTTACAGGAAACATCTTTCTAGCAACCTTTTCTTCTTATACATATTTGGTAAGGCTGTGACAGAGTCACTCTTCTTTCTGGGATGTGACTTGTCATCAGATTGAAGCATGAATATTTGTTATTTCGATGGTTTCGCAACAGGAAAGCTTGTTGAAGAAGAGGGAGGAAGCTTTGCATTGTGGCTTTCTTACATTCTTACTGGTGTTGGAGCAAACCTTGTTTCCTGGCTTATTTTACCAAGAAACACAGTTTCAGTTGGAGCTTCTGGAGCTGTTTTTGGGTTATTTACTATCAGCGTCCTTGTAAAGGTACATGTAATTGTATTATAAAATTTATTGTTCTTTTGTTTCCAGTTTTTCTTCTAAGCTCTTACACTTTTGGTTGAGCTTGATTTAGATGTCCTGGGATTGGAGGAAGATCCTTGAAGTGCTTATATTGGGTCAATTTGTTGTAGAGAAGGTGAGCATGAGCAACAAAGATTTTGTTTTTTACCCCCGTAAAACAACTAACTCTAAACAACTGCAGAACTTTGCAAAAGTTACTGTAGTGAAATTATCACATTCTTTCAAATTTGCATCTTTTGTAGATATTTTGGAATTCTGATCCTGTAAATTTCACGGCTGTACTTTGGCAGTGAAAGTGTAATTATAATGTGTGGTTATAATCTTTGATTTGAAACTCAATGATTGAGATCGATAAAGTACATGCAGGTGCATAACTAACTATGAAGCAATTAGAACCTCAACTATTGTTTTTTCTAATGGTCATAACTCCGCACTTTAGTTAATTTCCAAAGTGCCGCACCTTTCACTTCACATGTGTCAAATTTGTATCATAATGTGTCCATGACTTATGCAGCATAAAAACTTTCAATATATTAATGATATCTTTCATTTTTTATACTGATAATTTAATTATTGATTTACTTGTTTGAAAAGATAAAATGCTTATATTTTGATCTTGTCATTTGGGTTATGCTTGAACAACTAGGAGCATCAGTGTCCTTTATAATTGATCTGTTGTTTGCGAGTGTAATAGGTTATGGAAGCAGCTCAAGCGTCGGCATCATTACCAGGAACCTTTCGTGGAGGCTACGCATTGCAAAATGTCAATCACATTGCTCATCTTTCTGGTGCTCTTGTTGGCGTGCTCTTAGTTTGGCTCCTTAGCAAAATTCCTTCTGATTCTTCAAACCAATAATCCAGTTTGGAATTGTTGAATGGCTGCGATTATTTATAGAGAGTAATTCTACACATATAAATTTGATACGCTATGTGATTGTATATTTAATTAGTGGAGTGCAATCATATGAGATGAGATACACCTGTGCAATGCAACATATCAATGTAATAGGGAGGTCAGTTTGTTAGGGATAATTCATCCCTGGGAGCTTACTCTAATATCGCAACAACTCAAGAACTCTCAACCTTACATAATTAGGGGTCCTCATCATTGTACTTTTACCAAGTACAACTTCTTTATATAAAAAAAAAATTGGCTAAAAAAAGAAAACAATTCATTAATTATTTTAATGAGTTAATTAAATGCATGTATTAATCAATTGACTAAGGTAAATTAGGAAATATTGAAACTCAGCCACTTAATCAAATATTAACTCCCTTAATAGATTAAGAGGTGTTACACTTTGTTTTTTCAAATAAAAATACTTCTTTATTAATTAAATAATGCATCCAAATTAGGAAATGCTCGTAGGAACTGTAATACGGTGGGAGAACTGACTTGAGTGTTTTGTGTTTGATCGCAAATGTTGTGGTTAGGAAGAGTCATCACCGACTTTTCTTTTATCCAAAAAGAAAGGTAAAAAAACACAGGAAATACCTTTGAGATTGTTTCTTGAGTTTGGGGGTAGATTATGAAAAGGGAAGGTATTAACACCCTTTTCATCCATGGTTTTCCATGGACTCTTAGTTACTTGCTAGATCACTTGTTTTTGTTTGGAAATGTGCTTTGTGTGGTTTTGAAAGTATTTTTGAAAAGAGCCATTGTTTAGGCAAACTTTGTAATGATTCTCGTTTGTAAGAATGTATACAAAGATGCTGATCTTTTGAAAATATTTTCAAGTTTGTAAGATGTTTTGAAAGTATAGGTGTTTGTTTTGAAAATAATAAGGATGTTTTAGTTTTGAAATTGAGCAAGTAACTACAAACATTCTACCTACTCAAAAGTCTTTCATATCCATTTCTTTTTTCCTTTGACATTGTTATCTTACCATTGACTTGGTAAGTAACCCTATCTTTGGATGTAAAAGGGACGGGTGTAGGTCATCGTATAACCATGATTAACAATGTTGTAAGGTATCTTAGCATTTTTCTTTAGGGACTTAGATCATTTTGAAAAGGCAACATAGATAGCGTCATCGAGGGACTATGATCTTGTATTTTTGCTTGTCTTTGCTAAGATACCTCACATGTGTAATATGACCATTTTTTGTAAGGCAACCAAGTGAATTTACTCTAGGGGTGCTTGTGTGCAAGTGTATTGATTTTCATGCTTGATTTTTGTCTTGAATTAGGGTTTTCTACTTGTTGATTTTAACTTTTCATACAAACCCTAATTACTAGCATTTATATAAAGCGATAAATTGTTAAAAGTAAAATTACTACGCTATTACATCATTAGGGGAGGGGGTGTATAAATTAACAAATGGGGATTGCAAGAAAATTAAACATAATTAATCTATTACAATCATATTGAATATTGTACAAAATTGAAAATAAAATGCAAGAATATAAATGGACAAAGAAATGGTTTTTGTTGTTTTTATGAAAGGGGTTTTAACCTAATTAAGAGAGATGATTAATGAAAAATAAACAAAATTTAAACCTAAATTAATTAAGAGGGAAATTAAGTTAAAAACGTATTTTAGGGTTTTTTGTGAAAATATTTTAACTTAATAAAAATAATATGAAAATTAATTAATTAAAATAAACCTAAGTTCTAAATTAATTTTGAATAAAAAGAAAATAAAATAATAATTAAGCTTAAGTCTAAATATTAATTATTTAAGAAAAAGAAATTAATTTGTTTAAGAAAATATTTTTAGTCTTTTTGTTTTATAGAGAAAATAAAATATATAAGTGTAAATAATAAATAAAAATATTTTTTGGATTTTTATTAATAAAAATAATAATAATATTAATAATAATAAATAATAAAAATATTAAAGAAAATAAAATATAATGAAATAAAAAATCAGAAAAAATGAAATAATTAAAAAAATGGCCAGGGGGTGCTGAAGTAAATCAGGGTTAGTGAAAAGAAAAAAAAACAAGAGGCCCAAATGGAAGCCCAGGCGCTGCAAAAAAAGCTCAAAATGTAAAAAAATAGTGAAAAAAAATGCAAAAGGTCACGCTGGGGCTTGAATCCAGGACCTAAGGGTGACAGACGCGTGCTTTAACCAGTGGGGTGGTGATACATCCATTAACTTGTGTGAAATGATAAATACATAACACAAAACGCGCCATGATTACACTTCATCTTCAACCTCCAGCCAAAGGATTTGTAACTTGTTCATTTCTCAACCATTTGCAAAAATGTAAACATGAAAATTGCTCCATTTTGTCACACGAATCCAACCATATAAATATTATAAGCTATAAATCAGAGATGAATGAGAATTTCTAAAAGTACTAAATTTTGACCTAAATATTTCAGAAAGTTCAAACTCAAAATTCTCCTAGCTCAATCAAAATAAATGAAATCTATGGACATGTATAATTTTAGGGCAATGATGTTTACATTTTATCTTCACAAATGCAAGCCTAACAATGCCTAAATATGAAGATAGAAGTTCAAGAAAAATACCTCAAAACTGGAAATCGTGAAATGGATTTGAGCTTGTTTCAGGCAGTGGTGATTATCAGGCTAGCTTCCTCAAGTCCCCAGGAAGCTAATCCAATGGTTTGCTTGAGCAATGGATGGCTAGAATGGTATGGAGAAGTCAAGTTGCAGATCTCTATTTTTGGTTATGGAGGATGATGAAGATGGAGTTACAGTTTCAAACCAAGGACAGGGATGGACTATATTTGATGTAAGGAAGCTTTATGAATGAATTTGAGGGAAAACGCACGAGGGAAATGAGAGATACAAGTTTAAGGTCAAAAATGTGTATCAATGGAGTTTTTTGTGCAATTTCCGGCTAGAGGGAATTTGGGAGTGTTTCAGGATGCCAAAACTCGTCCCTTAGCTCACAAATAGTGACTATTTATAAGCAACAAGTTTGGAGACTTGTTGTTGATCAGAATTCAAAATCACAAGTTTATGCATAACATGTGATTTTTTGAGAAATTCAAGTTTCAAAGCCTTGTGTACTTGCTAAGATAGAGTGGTTATGCTTTAAACATACTTGCTTCTGACTTTGTGGATGGAGTGTGATCAGAGGGAACAAGTTAAAGGCTCAAGAATGGACTTTATACAAAAATCTTGCTTTACAAGAATGACAATGTTAACTTTGTGCCATTAATGGAAATGCAACTTGGATAATAGCTCAGTTGCTTGGATCAAAGCTATAACAGCTGTGTAAACATTTAATTATGGAGTGACAATCAAGTTTTAGGCCTGCAAAGCAAAGATTATGCAGCCTAACATGGATTTGGTTCATGTGTTCATCAAAAATGACTTGTAATTCAAGTTTGAAAACCCTAACTTCCTCTCTTCGATTCTCCCTGCTCAAGAATGATCTCAAGGAGTTCTTAGACATTTTGGAAAGCTTTTAATGTGATTTACAACCACTCTTTGAATCACTTTTAAAAATTCCCCTTGGAAATATATTAAAAAGTGCCATGAAGTTAGGTCAAAATCCTGCCTAAACTAGGGCAAAATTTCACTATGTGTTTAGTTTCAAGACTATGACTTCATGAATTAATAACTTAATATCCAATCATTTTTAGGATAAGTTGTGTAAAGCAATGTTGTATATATCATGTATATCTACAACTTTCATGTTGAAAGTTTCTTTTGAATCATCTTGCATCATGGTGAAAAATTGGCTCAAAGTCGTGAAAGAACATGAAGTTTTAAACACTTAGAAAAAATTCTGTTAAAAAACTTTGAATTTTCAAAATGAAATCTTGACTTTTTGATTTCTTGATGAATAAGTTTAATATTTTGACATTTTTTGATGAATTGTGATCTTTGACACTTGATTTTGACCAAAAAGTTAAAGTTTGACTTTTCAGTGTACAGTTGACTGAAAATTCACTATCAATCCAATTGATCTTGAGTAATGTTTGGGTCATGTCATTAGGTCAAAATGATGAAATTGAATTATTGAGATCATGCCTCAAATAAATTAACCATTTGCTAAGTCAAAAATCAGAAATTTCCCTTTCTTAGTCAAAACCCTAATTTTGACCATTTTGCCCTTTTGATGATTTGATCAAATTTCTTGAGGAATTATGGTCCAAACTTGATCAAATTATACATATGAGTTTATAATGTTGATATGGATCAAAAATTATGAAGTTTGACTGTAAATTGGCCGTAGTTGACTTTTCCTCCAATACAACTGATTTTTAGGTCAAATGCTCAATTGACTGAGCAAAAATGTGATCCAAGGCTTGAAACTTGACATGAGAAATCTTGGGGGTACATAATGATCCATTAAAGTCATATGAGGCATTGAAAGTTCAATTATTCTTGTGCAATCTCAAACCCTAATTTTAGTCATCGGTGTTTAAGGAGGTGTCTTGAGTTGATCAACCCTAATGCAGTCTTAAACCAAGAGAGATCTTTTGTGAGAAAATAATTGATAAGTGAGAGGGAAAATTTTGGGGTACAACAGCTGCCCCTGTTCAATCTTCTTAAACCTGAAGAGATAGATTGGCGGATTTTCCATTCGTGACTTAAAGGTGGAAGATGATTGGACACTAGAGTGCCCAGAAATTTGCACTCGAGGATGTGATGGTTGATGGTATAGGGAATGGGCTTAAAGATGCCATTTGGAGAGGTGATGGAAATTTGTTGGAGATGGGCTTGTAGATGTCATCCAAAAATGACTGTTGAACCATATCTGCAAGTTGAATCTGAATGAGTATCAGAATGGCGTCCATGTGTGGAGCGTATCTGAAATGTATCTGGAAGTTGAATCTGAATGAGTATCATAATGGCATCCGTATCTAGAGCGTATCTGTACTGTATCTGAGAGCTGAATCTGAATGAGTATCAGAATGGCATCTGTG